CTTATAGATGAACTGAATGCTGAGGCTGGTGAACCTAACTTGCATGAAGCTGAATCACACCCAATTAAATTATCCCACTCTGGAGAGCCTTTGCCAACATGCAACATAATTTCTAGCCACATTGATCGGAATACTCCTGTTTCAGAAGAGGAGATTGTTGGTCATAGCATGGAAAATTTTATACCAGAAGATAATAAAGCAAGTGCAACAGCTTCTATGAAAAATCAAGCAACTAAAGGACTTCCCGATTCTAGAACCATTCAAGAAAGGGAAACCCCTACAAAAAGTGAAAGGTTGTCTCGTGTTGCTCCAGGCCTTGATGAGTTTAAAAGCAGAGCAATTGCTGCTAAAGAAAAGCCCCTGTCTAGCCAAACGGATACTGTCATTCATAGACTAGAGCCTGATGGGAAAGAATATAATTACGCATCTGCTAAAAGAGGTGCTAAGGTTCTAGATTCGAACAAGGAAGCTAAGGGTGCTTCTAACATCTTAGATAAAGATAAGGATAAGTATCTTCGAAATCCGTGCTCAGTAGAAGAGAAGTATGTTGTTATAGAACTTTCAGAAGAAACCTTAGTGGATACGATCGAGATCGGTAGCTTCGAACACTACTCTTCCAAACTCAAGGATTTTGAACTGTACAGCAGTATGGTTTATCCGTCAGACAATTGGGTTAAACTTGGAAATTTCACAGCTCAAAATGTCAAGCATAAACAGAGGTTTGCTCTTTCAGAGCCTAAATGGGCAAGATATCTGAAGCTTAATATGCTGAGCCATTATGGTTCGGAGTTCTATTGTACATTGAGTGTGGTAGAAGTATATGGAGTGGATGCTGTTGAGAGGATGCTTGAGGATTTGATCTCAGTTGAGAGTAGACGGTCAGAAGCTGATGAGAAAAACAACGAGCGGATGTCACAGCAAGAACCTAATCATGGAGATGATCTGTATAAGGAGTTTTTAACTGAAATAAGTGATGAGTCTCCACATGAAAGCCCGAAGCTGAAAAAGGAGGCCCCAAAAAGCAGTGTGCCTGATCCCGTTCTGGAAACTAGACCGACACAGGTTGGAAGAATGCCTGGGGATACAGTTCTAAAAATTTTACTGCAGAAGGTGCAGTCCCTTGACATGAATTTCTCTGTTCTTGAGAGATACCTGGAGGAACTGAATAGTAGATATTCACACATCTTCAGAGATTTCGATGATGATATCTATAAAAATGATATGCTCTTAGAAAAAATCAAGTTAGAAATAAAGGATCTTCAGAACAGAGAAAACATCTTTGTAAGTGGTATCTCATTCTGTTTCTTTTATGCTTGTTTGATCTTCAGTGTCTGGTTACCCTAAACATAAGCTTTATCTTACCCTGTCACTTTGTTGCTTCATTCAGGCTAAAGAAATTGGAGAATTGCACTCATGGAAATCTCTGGTTTCCTCACAGTTGGAGCAATTAGCCAAGGAGAACACAGTGCTCAGGTTCCTCTTGTTACTTCTTTTCTTTCTTTTCCTGCTGGTGTAGTTAATTTCTTATGAATTGCATTCCTTTTACAAGATATATTTCAGAGTTCAATATTAAAGATTAACAGAATTCTAGACATTGGATGAACCTCCATACTTGATTTGCTTTGATAATGTCCTCTGATATATTAAATATCCATTATTCGGACTCTCATTAGTTCATTATTTTACAAATTATTGGTCATAATCAACTTGGTTCCTTCAAAAAAATTCATGACTGCACAGTACCTCTACTTTGTTTTTTGCAGTGTACTTAGCACCCTTAAATAAATGTAGCTCCTTGATTCTTGTGAAATATATTATGACACTTTTTAAAGGGTAGCCCTGTGCATGAGGCTTCCACAATTGTGGCCTTTGGGGAGAGTCAGATGTTACCCCCCGCTTGCGAATAGGTTGTTTCCATTATTTGAACTCATGATCTCCAGGTCACAAGGCAACAACCTTACCATTGCGCCAAGGCTCATTATGGCACTGTTGCTTACTTAAAAATCTAAGATTTCTCAAAAGTTTCACAAGAAAATATTTTAACATCAAGGTTCCATGCATCTTCTGGGCTTGTGTATTCTAGTTAGGAATAGCATCAATTTTCCATAATAAGTGCCCAGCAGTGCTTTGTTGTTCCCATGCACAACAATATTTTGCTGAAAATAAGTTTTAGGGTTCCTATTGGAGTTATTAGATATATTTATTCATGATAACCTACACCTTTCTCTAGATGGAGTAGGATTTTATCTCGAATATCATTGATGGTATTGAGTGACAATTTATCATGGTGAAACCAAGATATTGTGTGTGGAGAAATAGAGATGAAGAACATTTAGTAGTACTAGATCTTAGGTGGACAACATAAAGAGAGTTACTTTTTTAATGCAAGGCTAAATTGCACTTAAATACCATAAAGTTTCCCACTTTTGGCACTTAAATACCCTGAGTTTTTTCTTTCATTTTTGCATTTTAATATCGTAAGTTTTTAAAAAGTGGCACGTTGACACATTTTGTTAGCACCACGTGAGAATATTTCAAAGAATATTTCTATCTTATAGGCACATGACAAATTTAAATCCTTTTTAAACCCATGATTGTTGTAGTTACATAGTCTACCTATCTCCATTCTATATGAAATTTTGATCTTTCAAATTGTAACCAAATTCCCAAATTCTCTCCCCTTTCTCCTAATTTTTTTGATGGAAACCATGAAATCAAGCTCTAGAAAATGCTCCATCAATTGCTTCCAAATTGCCCAAATTCAAATTAAAAAATCAGGTCTGTTAGAGATGTTGCCTTAAATTTCTCCAATCCAAGTTAAAATCTATTATAAATCTCCAATTTAGACCACAAACCCCTTCTTCAATATCCCAATATGTAGCTGATGCTTGATCCTAGGGCACAATCCAAATTCATAAACTTAGGTAATGTAACGTTTAGGAGTAACGTAAAATGAAAGGATAGGGATTTTTTTTTAACTATTGGGTTTTCTTTTCATCTTGTAGGATCTACGGTAGCTCACACTAAACACTAGAGGGGGGTGAATAGTGTAATTTAAAAAATTTGCAAAGTGAATTATAAATTACAAGAACAATAACAACAATCATAGAAATTTAACAATCATAAACAAGAGCTTTTATACTGGTTCCACCACCCTGGGTGAATATCCAGTCTCCAAGCAAATTCCGCTTGAGATTTTCACTATAATTGTAAAAACTATTACAAAATCAAACCAAACCTGACTAATTTGCAAGTCCTTGCAAATTGCAAACAATCTCTAAACCAAGAGATCTTCTCTCACACCCGAGAGAATTCTTCTTTGAAGAAAAAACACAAATTCCTATAAGCCTTGAAGTGTTAGTGAAGTACAGCAGTGGTTTAGGAACTTTTTCACTCTCTGAATAATGCCTAAACAATCTTTTAGGATGATGGAAACAAAGGCACTTTCAGAAACTTTTCTTTTCTCAACAATTAGAATGTAAATTTGAATCAAGAACACTTGAATTTTTGCACAAATTTCGAATCTTTTATATATATATATATATA